GGGGCCCGGCTGGGAAAGGGGCCCGGCTGGAAACCCGGGCCGCGCAGCTTCACGGCCACCCCTAGTGGCGAGGCCGGGAACTGAAGCAGGGAGGGCGGGGCCGGAGACTGGAGGGCGGACTCCTGCTCGGAGCGGGATGCACCGCCCCCGCCGCCTCGCTCGGCTCTGCGCCTGCGCGAGCGGCTTGCGCATGCATTTCTCTGGTGACCATACGGGGCCAACACTGTTTCGGTTCATTTCCACTCCATCAGCCATAGAATGTGTTAAGTGGGTGCTGTGCCAGCTCCCAGTGCGTTCGGCTTAGCTCAGCTCCACAAAGTTAATTGAACTCTTGTGTTTTATTAAACTTGCAGGCCTCTTGAAAAGGCTCTTAAGAGCTTTTGTTTATTAAGATCTTTATATTTTATTGCATACGAGGAACCTCAGCTAGGATTCTCTCCCACATTTTCTCCTCCGTATTTTTTAATTTACATGGGGTGATAATAACAGTAACAGGGAATCTAGTCCCAGATTTGAACTCCTATTAAGAGGGGGAAAAAAAAAAACTACAAATGACCTTCAAATCTGTTATGTAAAATATTTTTATACATTTTTATGTACCATTTGCATTCAGGCATTATGGTGGGGAGGAGTGTTTCCAAAGTAATTATACTCAGAGTGCTTGCAAAAAAATAATTCGTGAGACATAGTAAGATCAAATTATGGTTTGGCGAGTCCCTAGCAGTATGTTCTTGGGCCAGTGGCTTATTTGTTCTGAAATTCTTGCATTCTCTGTAAGATGTGGAGGTAATACCTACCTCACAGGACTTCTGTGAGAAATAATTGATATAAGGTATGTGATAAGTTGCACAGTGCTTTGAAAATTTGCAGTAAACAGATATTAATAGATATTAGTCCAAAACAAACAAAAACAGTCTCAGACAGGGGTGAGAGATTGGGCTTCCCTGAATGGGACTACTGTGTACCCTGGACACAAGGATTTAAACACCCGGGGTCCTGGCCCACACTAAATTTACATTTGCTTATGAAAACTTCAGTGTCAAGTGTCCATCCACCGAGAAAAAAAAAAAAAACCCTAATTGCTTTAATTTGACGACACAATTACACAAAGGAGAATTCTACCTTGCCTATACAAAGATTAGGGCTTCCACGGTGTATGTACCATTCTTTGAAGGGACCCTAATGTGGCCCAAGGCCCAGCCCCAACTGCAGCTCCTGCTACACTTCTGACCCACCAAACCTTTATTCTGAACCATCCCAGTCACAAAGTCAAAGTCAGAGGAACCCAGAGGAGGAGAGTGTCACAGACCCTTGTCCCTGTGGACCCCAACCCAGCCACACTTGGGGAGTGGGATGCCAGACTCTGTGCTGTTGGCCAGGCCTGTTGCAGCACAGCCACTGAAGCAACTTCTGTACGAGGAGTTGAGGAAGGTTATTCAAGGGAATACTAGCAATTTCAAGCTGGGGAAACTATTGTACACACCAGATGTCCTGGATAAGAAGGTATAGATTATCAGCCTAAAAATTTGTGGTTGACAAGTAGGAACCAAGACCCAGGAAGATTTCTGTACCACAGCATCCTGCCTCCCCATTGGCAGAGCAAGATCTCCCTTTCCCTAGGGTGGCACCATCCCCTCTTCTCTGCAGGTATCACTGACCTGCCTGCTCCCTCTCGGTGGCTCTGTTGCTAGGCAAGCCAGCTAAACCCTGAGTCTAGCAAGCCCAGACTCTTTAATCTTCCCTTTGTGGCTCTGGTGCAGCCCCACAGGACTCTCAACCCATTGCCCACTCTTGGGTCAGCAGCAGACACAAGCTATCTTTTATAAAAGAGGAAGGGCAGAAGTAAGAGTCCAGATGGTAGAGACAAGAACCGTCATTCACGAGCCTTTAACCCTAATCAAGGAATTGGCAATATACGTGCCTTGATGGATTTCATGTTAGCTATAACCAGTGACTTCTGTGTGCCTCCCAACTGCTCTCCTTCAGGGAGTCTCTACAGTGGTCATACCATACCTGTCCCAACATTGTATGTTGAGTTTGTTTGGGGCAGAGAGCTTGTGTCTTTTGTTCATGGGTATTCAGCTCAAGAACTGTACTCAAGCAGCTGTACTTAAGGAAATATACCTGAGAAGCATTATCCACACCTGGACCCAGTTTAGATGATGAGATCCTTAATTTTGAATAGATCAAGGAATAAAATTCAGGGGGACCTGGGGAGGGAGTTAATATGTTCTGCATGTAAGATGCACAAGAATCATTGAAGGCTAGAGGGTAGATTATGGTAGCCAGACTCCAAGAGGGCTCTCAGTGGGCTTCATGTCCTTCCACATGAGATCAGGGCTGACTTCTGTGGCCATTAGCATATGGCCAAGGTGACAGTGTGACTCCTGAAGTCATAGAAGACACTACCATTTCTACCTTGGTCTCCTAGATTTCTTGCTCTGTAGGAAACCACCCACCATCTTGAAAGGACATTCAGGAAGCCGTGTAAAAAGGTCCATGTGGAGAGGAACCCACTTCCTAGCAGCAACTTGCCAGCCATGTGATTGAGCCACCTTGGAAGCATAGCCTCCAGCTCTGGGTGGGTCGTCCCACCCTACAAGTTTTCCAGTCTTCCAGCTGAGGTCCCAGCCATCAGGAAGCAGAGACGACTATGCCCTGTCTGAATTCCTGATCCACAGAAACC